CCCTGTTTTGTTGTTCTGTATGTGGTGTGGCCACCATCAGAAGAGAGAGCAGAATAAGCCGCAGTCAGAGCCCGGCCAGATGGGGGAGGTTGCCAAGGAAAACGCTCCCCCCACCCCCCCCTGCGCCCAGCCTGTGTTGAGAGGGGGTTTGCCCTCCAAACTCACACAGAGAATATCAAGTGAGGTTCTATTTCTTCTCCATCTGTCTCCTTAGTCGAGCTGTGATGAATTACTGGATCGATTGATCTTGCACCGCTTTGTGTAATAGCCGTCTGTAAAGAGCCAGATCTTATAGATAAGCTACTCAGTCTTTTATTTTAAGATTTGATTAATTATAATGACATGTTAATAATGAAATTGGATTTGGTTTAAGGGGGGAAAATGGACAAATGTGAGGCGTCGTGGTGAAAACAGATGCTCATCAAAATAATGAAATTAAGAAACCTGCATTGGGCAATTTCACATTTTTTTTGTTTTTGGGTGGGGGCTCAACACAAGATAAATGATTTATCCGCAGTGATGTTACATTCGAACATGATAAATGATTTATCCCCAGTGATGTTTCCATTCGAACAAGATAAATGATTTATCCTCGCTGATGTTACATTCAAACATGATAAATGATTTATCCTCGGTGATGTTACATTGAATCATGATAAATGAATGATTTCTGTAAACAGCAGCTCCACACTAAAGCTTAACTTGAAAAGTTGAGGCAAACTATATAAAGAGTAAATAGCTGACAGGATGGGATGAAATCACCAGTGTTAAAACCAAGGAAAATAGAGGGGTTAGAAAGAACCCACAGGATGAGGGAGTATGTGAAAAGAGAGAGAGAGAGAGAGAGGGCCAGGCTTGAATGATTCTGTGCCATTGACAAGGCCAGAAGTGATGAGAGAATCTGTACAGTGGAACACAGCCGAGTGGGAGAAAAGCTGCCATGTGGGGGTGGCTAGAAGGTGAACATGACAGAGTTGGGAGAAGGTGAAAATCACAGAGTTGGGAGAAGGTGAAGATGTGGGGGTGGCTAGAAGGTGAAAATGACAGAGTTGGGAGAAGGTGAAGATGTGGGGGTGGCTAGAAGGTGAACATGACAGAGTTGGGAGAAGGT